AGTGTGGGTATCTTTAGTTTTTTTCTTTGTTTTTGTTTTTGGGGACAGGGTCTTGCTTTGTAGTCCAGGCTGGCCTTGAATTCACTCTGGAACTTGGACATCCTCCTGCCTCAACTGCATGGGCCAGCACATCTGGCCTCCTTTTTAAAGTCTTTGAATTTGATTTTTTCAAGTAAATCATATACAGTATGTGCTAAAAATCACATTATTGTTCTTCATATTGTAAGACAGAAATTCTAAGATCTAAAGTGAGGAAATTGTGTATTTTTGTTTGTTAGAATTTGGTAATCAAATATCTAATTATAATTAGAAAAAATTATTGAAGTTTTAGTCATCTTTTGCTCTCCAGTTATTTGTTATACTATGTGAAAGTGAATTTGATTTACTAATTTGTATACTGGGGTATGTATTTGAGATGGTAAAACCTTTTATGGTACCACTGTGATGGAGTAAGGGTTGTTGAGTCACCCTAGGCAGGGTTAACACAGGAGTAATCTTGTGAGAGATAAAAAGATGAAGACAGCAATTACTTTAGGGAATGGATAACAGGTTTATGTATATTGTTCACATTATATAGAGAAAACATTTTATTATATTTACAGTGACTGTGTTTTGTTTTTTTTTTTAAATAGAGTTTGACTGCACTTTAGCATTCATGTTTGAATTACCTGCTTTTAAAAAATGGCTCCCGCTTGATAGTTTGAGGAAAAAGTGCAATGAAGTTGAGCTTTTTAAGGCTTTCCTTTTAGTAGTTAAGTTTTAAAACTGTTAATAAAGATGGCTATCGTAGCTGATAAAGTAAGAGATTAAACTTATTACTTCGAGAATTTTAATTATAAACCTGTTTTTCAAGGTATCTTCATGAGAAGGAAGTATCTGACAACAAACTTGATCCTTTTTTAGTAGTTTTGTTTAGTCTCCTTTTAGAACCATAGATGTGGTTGTGTTTATTTCTTTATCCTTAATTTGAGTGTACATGACCTGTATTTCTATGAGGTTAGATATAACTTTAAAAATAAGATACACATCTAATTTTTATGTAAGGTTTTTTTTTTTTTTCTGTTTTATTGTTTTGAGACAAAGACTTTCTATGTAGTTCTGGCTGGCCTTGAACTCACTGTTGTAGCCCAGGCCGGCCTCGAATTTGCAGTAATCCACTTGCCTCAACCACCCAAATGCCGGGATTACAGGTGTATACTGCCACACCTGACTGCATAGGTATTTTTTTTATATGAAGCCAGTGTGAATCTTTCATTAGTACTAAAAATTATGTACTATCTTGATTTACAAGTGTAAATTCACAAATAAATGTATTGCCTACTTATGATTTTATTTGTTACGGAGAGTTTAATTGTAATTATAATGGTGTACAGATTCAAATTTTTTTAATGTACTTAGTATCCTCTTTTATTTCTTTTTTAAAAATATTAATTGCAGTCCAGTGAAGTATTTACCAATGAGTCCCCATACGAAATTACAAGCCTCACACTAAGCCACTACTGGCATTACAACATTCTTCCTCTCATATAGTGCACAGCCCTTTCTTTTTTTTTTTTTTTATGTACTTCTGTAGTTAATACATGGTCTCACTACATGGATCGGACTCATAGTGCTCCTCTTGTTTTCAGCCTCCCAAGCACTGGGATTACAGGCTTGCTCCGTCATGCCCAGTCTCAATGGCTGTCTCAGTGCGCCCTGGGGGCTAGACCACCACAGCACTCAAACCCCGGTCCTTTCATCTGCATCTGCCTAAGTAGGCACTTTAATCCATTGAGCTATCTGGCCGGCCCTCCAGATTCAATTTTTAGTCCCCAACTTTTAATTTTTACCTTTAGACAGGGACTACCTAAAGCACTAAATTGCCTTGCCTAGGCTGGAATTTGTAGTCCTTATGTCTCAACTTCCCAAAGTGTTGAGATTATAGGTGTGTGCCACCACAAGGTGTGGGAGACTAAATATCTTTAAATTGGGCTGTGTATTATTTGAGAGGAAGAATGTTGTAATGCCAGTAGTGGCTTACTGTAAGGTTTTTAATTTCATATGGTGACTCATTGGTAGATACTTTACTGGATTGCAATTAATATTTAAAAAAAAAAGAGGTTAAAACAAATTAGAGAGTATTGTGTATATTAAGAATAGCTTGTGTAATGGACCTTTTGGTTTTGTCTATAGTAAATTATACTGGGTATAAGATGTATTATGTTAGCCATGTGAAGCTACCGTTACACAGCTTATTAATGTTTCAGTTTTCTTAGCAGTCAAACTAAGAATGATAGCAACTGTGTAAGGGGTTATGGGGATAAAAAGACAATATATATAAAGTGTTTAAAACTGTCTTTCTGTCCTCAGCACTAAAGAAATAAAATGGCCTTTAAGATAATGACTTTTA